TAGATTTAAATGTTAAATGATTGCACTGTCTTGACCTGTCTGCTAGCCGGGAATCCCATAATAGAGGGCCATCTTCACGGTCTTATAGATACATTTCCATGCACAGTGGATAACACTATGTAACAACAATTGAAAACAACAGAGGGGAAACAAACAGGCACATGAAATCACTCTCAACAAAAGATTCCCCCCAGGCGCTTCCAAGCCATTGAATGCAAATCAAGGTGATCAGCTGAAACATTCACAGCTAGCCCCAGCAGACAAAAGTCCTTTGTCTCACCCTGGTCATTCCACAGATATATAAACCCATTTTTCCTAGTTCCAACAGACCTCATTACCTCTGAGGATGCTTGCCATAGATGCAGGCGAAACGTCGGGAGAAAAATTGCCTCCAGAACATGGCCGTATAGCCCGGAAAAACCTACAACAACCCAATTGAAAATAAATTTCTGTTCCTGGTTTGAAAGTGTTATTCCTAATTAATTGTGTGATAATTACTTTGAAAGTAGTTATTCTACTCCTGAAAATTTGTTCTTTTTGTGGCTGCCACAAACTCGGTTGCAATGGGTTGGTACTTGATGATGAGAAATTCATTGAAAAACAACGAAATGTGCTCTAGCAAGAACAATATCTTTGTGGTTTAATAAACAACTTCCTTGTTTTTATGCTAGAACCCATTAGGAAACGACATTGATAACCCAGGAACAAATATCATAGTATTGTCGAAGGCTTTCATGGCCGGAATCCATGGGTTGTTGTAGGTTTTTCCGGGCTATATGGCCATGTTCTGGAGGCAATTTTTCTCCTGATCATGAGGTCATTGAGGACCTCATTACCTCTGAGGATGCTTGCCATAGATGCAGGCGAAACGTCGGGAGAAAAATTGCCTCCAGAACATGGCCATATAGCCCGGAAAAACCTACAACAACCCACAAATATCATAGTCTTACATAGTGTAAGATATTATAAAAATATAATGGAATTATAATAATATAATACACTTCTATATAAATAAAAATGTAATGTTTGTTAGTGGGATTAGCAGAACTCAAAAACCACTGGGGGAATTGACACCAAATTTGGACACGACACCTAATAATAATAATAATAATAATACTTTATTTGTACCCCGCTACCATCTCCCCAAGGGACTCGGTGCGGCTTACATGAGGCCGAGCCCAAAACACAACAATACAAGCAATAACAACAACAATACAAGCAATTAAAAAACATAGAGACCTGATGGGCCATCCAGTCCATCCCCGTTCTGCCAAGAAGCAGGAATATTGCATTCAAAGCACCCCTGACAGATGGCCATCCAGCCTCTGTTTAAAAGCTTCCAAAGAAGGAGCCTCCACCACACTCCGGGGCAGAGAGTTCCACTGCTGAACGGCTCTCACAGTCAGGAAGTTCTTCTTCATGTTTAGATGGAATCTCCTTTCTTGTAGTTTGAAACCATTGTTCCGCATCCTAATCTCCAGGAAAGCAGAAAACAAGCTTGCTCCCGCCTCCTTGTAGCTTCCTCTTACATATTTATACATGGCTATCCTATCTCCTCTCAGCCTTCTTCAGGCTAAACATGCCCAGCTCCTTAAGCTGCTCCTCATAGGGCTTGTTCTCCAGACCCTTGATCATTTTAGTCGCCCTCCTCTGGACACATTCCAGCTTGTCAATATCTTTCTTGAATTGTGGTGCCCAGAATTGGACACAATATTCCAGGTGTGGTCTAACCAAGGCGGAATAGAGCATGATTTCCCTAGATCTAGACACTATGCTCCTATTGATGCAGACCAAAATCCCATTGGTTTTTTTTGCCGCCACATCACATTGTTGGCTCATGTTTAACTTGTTGTCCACGAGGACTCCAAGATCTTTTTCACATGTACTTCTCTCGAGCCTGGCCTCATCCCCCATTCTGTATCTTTGCTTTTCGTTTTTTCTGCCAAAGTGGAGTATCTTGCATTTGTCACAATTTTCTCAGTTCTTCCCGAGCTGAGAGAGGTACGTTCCATAAAACACTCCTGTTAAAAAATCTCTGTATGCGGAAAACTAGTCGCTCAGGAAGAAAAGTGGTTTTGTGTGTTTCTCTAACAATGCCTTTCCTTTCTCTTTCTAGATATTCATTAACAACGAGTGGCATGAGTCGAAGAGCGGGAAGAAATTCCCCACCTTCAACCCTTCAAAGGGAGAGAAGATCTGTGATATCGAAGAGGGGGACAAGGTCTGTTCTTCCTTGATCAGGAAAGCATGTGGAATTATGCACAGTTGTGTTGAAAGGAAACCTCAGCTTGAGAGCTGGCTTGTCATTATGCCTGAAAGACACCCAGACTGCCACAGCTCAATACTGTGGAATTATGTTATAGTTTTCCAAGGTCTTTCGCCTTCCTTACACAAGGGTGCCGGTGTCTCTCCGAACGACGGCTCTGGCAGTTCTGTAGCAGTTCAAGTGGTGTCTAACTGCATCCATTCCTCATTGTAGAACAGTGTTTCTCAACCTGGG